CGTCTAATACAAGCATATGGCGCGTTGTCGTCCTCTCATCCTTAGTAGTGAATAAAGTTCATGCAACATTTACTTAACTTCTCATAAGCGTTTAATAGTTTAATAATTGACAAAAGTATCATTCCGAGACCATCAATGAGAAAGCAATATTGTTTACTTTTATTTTACTATATTTATTCTCCACTCCTAAATGGGCAATAACAGTTGAACCTAGGGAAAATAAATGCAATATATAGAAAATTTAAGCTTTAAAATCGACAAAAAAAAAAAAAAAAAAAAAAAAAAAAAAAAAATAATAATGCAGAAACTGAAATGAAATGTTAAACCTTAAGTAGTAAATAATAAATAATATATATATAAAATATATTTAATACAAAATCAATAGTTTATATTCAAAATATATTTAACTCTCTATCTATATATATTCATATGTGTGTTGTACATTTTAGCCAAATTCCTGTGTTTTGTATTTCAATAAAAAACGAGATATTTTACAAAAAAAAAAAAAAAAGAACACCAAAATTGTATGTATGTATTTGTATGTAAAAATAAAAATGTACTTAATATGCTTAGAGGTAAGGTTTGAACGGTGATCGTTGTTTTTAAATCTTAAGTTCCAATTGGTCATTATTTCTCGTGATTGATGTTTTTGGTAATATCTTGATTGTTTGCTCGAGTCACTATGCTGTCTTTGCTGTTCTTCCACTCTCTCTCTCTCTCTTTAAGACCATTCTCCACGCTATCCCGCTTTGTAAACAAAATAAAAGCAACAAATATAGATAAAATACTATCGATAAATTTCAACCTGTTTCTAAATCGTCCCTTAGCTTATTTGTAATGTTGGATTAAATTTATATATTCTTTGCAAAATGAAACACTTTTATATTGTTGTAGCATTTTTAGATAATTTTATTTTAATTTTTTTTTTAAATTGGTAATTCACAACAAGTGAAGTATCGAGTATACATAATGAAGAACGCATTTCCATTTTACAGGACGAAACACCACAAAGTTTCTTTGACGATCATGGCCTTGGCTAAATAGCAACAAATGCGAATCCTTTAACCATTTAAGTCGCCTTAATGTATGCGTGTATTCATCATAACCGAAAAAGTATATTCTCTATTGTCTTATATTAATTTATCAATGATTATACAATTTGGCAGCTACAAAATTTTTATACACAAATCGCTGTTACACATATATTATATATATATATATTTATTCAAATGTACTCGCAACCTATTCCTTTTACAAATGCTAGGCAAATTTAATTTGTCTCACATTAAAAAAAAATCTTACAGAATTAACAAAATAATAAATATACTTTCTCTCATTAAATAAAAAAAAAAAAAAAAGTTGTCAAATACCAACCTTAAGGCTTGATTCAAGAATCGGCTCCTTTAAAGCTATATGTGGAACTGCTATATTTATTTACAAATAAAAAGCTGTGTGCTCAAATATATATATAAATATATCTTGATCTATATAAATATACATTACATGTACATTCATAGTTACGCACAACATAAATTACCTTCATGCATCATCTTTAACTGCTGATAAACATTTGTTACACAATATTAATAAATAAAATCAAAAATGCTAATACAAAATATCCATATATAGAAAACGGTTTTTTATTTTAATCTATGGTCACACTTGGCAATATCAATTGTTAGTACAAGTGATGTGTGTCTCGGCTAGAAAGTGTTGCAGTCTCTACTCAAATCCCGTTTGACGAAACAGCTGAGGCAATCGTTTTAAATTTAATTTGTAGCGTTAATGTAGTAATGAACTAAATTAAAGGAATTACCAGCTAAGAAAACATTCAACTTATTGAGTTGAAATTATATTTTCTTTATAGACCGATTGATGTTTTTTGATCAATCGCATTATAAATTCTTATTTTCCATCAGTGCATTTAAAGAAAAGTCTCCTCTCATGTCTAAAAGGAGTGATTCGATATTTCTTATCGATTACCGATTCAAACGTTTGCCAAAAAAAACTAAAAAGAAAAAATACAAAAACATTACGGGAAGAGCAAGTGCCTGACTGACTGAGAGGGAGTATGAAACAAATGCAAAGAGACATGAGAGCACGAGAGTGAGAGCGAGCCCATTTGAGAGAAATTTGAGCAAATTGGGCAGCGCGCTCCCGCTATTTTCCCAGTGTTGTTGGTGGGACTTTCCGCTGCGGCCGCCAAAAATTTCAACACGCCGAATTTGCAGGCAGCAGCCGAGTGGCGGAGCTGGCGAGCGTTGAACAATTTTCGGCCCCAGTCAGAGCGCACCATCGTCTTCAGCGAAGCACAAGCACACACAACCCACTAGGTGTGTGCTCTTTGTACGTTACGGGGGCACTGCCACACACAGAGAAGAATTTTCATTTTCACATACCACACAACAAAGTGGGAAAAAATGTACAAGAAAAGAAGAAAAACTTGAAAACTTGCACATTCGAATTGTGAAAAATTTCCATTCAATAAAAAACGGCAAACAATCGCAGTGCAAACAATAAACCAAATAAATCGCGAAACGTAAACGTAACCCAAAAAAATTGAAATTTAAGTGCGAAAAATTCCGAAAGCCTGTTCAAAAGGGCGCAAGTAAAATATAGAATAATTCTTGTTAACCGCAATCGCAACAGCAGTAAAAATTCTTAGCTCCCGCAGCGGAGATGTGTAAACGAAAATGAAAATGAAAATCGAAAATTATTGTGCAAACTCGCACTGGCAGCTGCAGCAGCAGTTTCAATTTTGCAAATTGCCGTCGTCAACGTTGTCCAGCAAAAATATATGGTACATAAAATTTGTATCTGCGCGAGTGTCTGCTTGTGTGTGTGTGTGCGTACGAGTGTGCGTGTGTGTATATATATAGATGTGTATGTGCGTGTGTTAACGTGAAAATTACGTTGTCATATGTGCAAAGTTCATAAGCGCTCGTTAAACATTTAATGCAGCTAGAACAATTGAAAATTTCCGAAATGCCATTATTCAAAGTTTGCTTTGTTTCCAAGTTTTGGACAATTCAAAAATATATGTACAATAAAAGCCACGCAGTCAAGGACTTTGCCATTTAATGTGTGTGTGAATATGTGGGTGTATATGTGTTCGCCGTTCATCTGTTTGTGTAGGTGTGTGTGAGTATGTGTGTGTATGTGTGGCAAGGAATGAACGATGTTGGCAGCCGCAGAACAGGAGCAGCCGTGGCAGAAAGAAAAAAATTCTCTATCTATTGCGATTTGTTCATGCGGCTCGAAAAGAGCGAAGCGCGCAACGTCGGGAGCGACAGAGAGAGAGGGAGAGAAAGAGAGCGAGAGAGAGAGAGAGAGAGTAAAAGAAAAGGAGAGTGAGATTGGAAGTGGGAGTGGGCAACGGGCAATGGGCGCTACACGGGCTGTGGGTGAAAAGTGTTACGGTTGCTGCTTGCTCTACGCATATGTATGCATGCACACACACACAAATACATACATATGTCTATGTACATGTGTGCTATACACGCACACATACACACAGGCGCATAAACATTTATATGTGTATTGTGCGAACTGCCTCAACGTCAATAATTTTTATTAATTTCCATAATATTTCGTACTCACGAAATTGATGCGGCCTTAACCCCACTAATGCCAGTAGCAGCAACAGCAACAGCAACATTTGTTGCCAAATTCCATTGGGCTCCACTGTTCTTTGTTCCCTTTTCAGCTGCTGTTCGTAGTGATTTATCCTTAAACTTGGCCACTTTTTGCACACAGTTTCGCTTCGGCTTTTGTGTGGTGAATTGTGGACTGCGCATGCCGCTGGGTGACCAGGACATGAACATGAACCTCCCACGTCGTGGCGACGGTGGCGACAGGCCTCTGTGTCATGTTTGGCTCATATAGTTATACTTATGTACACATGTACATATGTAAGTGTGTATGTCGAGTAGATTTGATATATTTATAAAGACTGCCGCTGGTCTTGCTGGTCCTTTTCATATTGTCATAAAGCTGAAAATTTCAAGTGTGGCGTCTATTATTAGAATTTGTATGAGTTAATGGTCAAGCTCTAGCGATTGTCCTTGAGTGAATGGACGCTCTGTGCGTGGGTGTCGTTGGAGCACTATATATATACAATGGTATACATGTACATATTTACATACACATACGTTTCTGCGACTATGCCGTCATCATCATCATCAGCAGCAGGAGCAATAGTGCCACTGTTATTCCGCTTGGCAATGGTGCATACTTATCGGGGCATTCGATAGGCAATGCACAGGGAAAGCATAATGCATTTTCATTCAATTCTGGAATCTAAAGCTTTCAATGCAATTTCAATCGGCAGCTCAACTCTGTCGCTCTCTCGCTCTCACGCGCTCGCTGTCGTTGCGTTCGTGCTGGGTCTCTCTCTTGACACGCTGTTGATATCATATTTTTGCCACTTTTATTATTATATGATGTCTACTACTTTCTATATGTGCGATAAGTGTGTGGGGAAATAGCGTACACTCAAATAACGGGTATTGCTGCTCATCGCTGCAAACTCACCACACACAAGCAAACACGCTGGACTCTAGAGTCTAGACACTCTCTCGCGCACGCTCGCTCTCACGCTCTCACGCTCTGGCTGTGGTGGGCTGCCGACAACTCCCGCTCATGCATATTATGTTATCTCGAAACTTTTATTGCCTGTCGTTTGGGGGTGCGGCGCCCACGTAGTGAAAAGGAGGCAGCGCCAAGGAGGAAAAACACGCTCCAACTGCGGGCCAGCGGAATCTAAAGACCATTCCAACATTTTCGCTGCTGTTGTGAACGTTGAACGGCGCTAGAAATAATAATAATAATAAACGCGACAAACGAATCAATTAAATAAATAAATAATTCATAGTTCCGAAAAATGCAATCAAATAAAATTGTGAGCTTTCGAGCAAGTGAGCTAAGTGTAATTTGTGATTTTTTTCTTTAAAGCAGAGCTTGAAGCAACAGTAACAGTTAATTGTAAATAAGTAACAAAGAAATATAACAACAAACACTCCACCAAACGCGAAGCAAAATATTTATAAATATACAACTAAACAAAGATATAAAACATAAGAATACAAAACTACAATGATCTACAATTAAAAGCCAATAGCTCTATTCTTAACCGTAAATGACAACGTAGCCTTCAATCTGATTATAAAGCCCGGACTAAAGGAAAATCAAGAATTTGCTGCTTAATACCATATTACGAAGGTGGGAGCGCAGAGGCGCCGCCAAATTCCGACAAATGTCTGGATAAAAGCAACAACCAGTTGATCAATGGATGAAAATGCAGCCGTCGTCGTCATTTTTGTCGTCGTCGTCGTTGTCCATTTGTCATCGCTTTTGTCAGCCTCAGCAGCAGCAGCAGAAGCAGCAGCAGAAGGCGGTGCCAGAGTCGGAGCCGCTGCCACACGAACAACAGCAACAGCAACAACAACCTCAACAGCAACTGAAACACCAAAGGGCAGCAGCAGCAGCAGCAGCAGCAGGAGCAGAAGCCGCAGCAGTCCAGCAGCAGCAGCAGCAGTTGGCGACACAGGTTACGCAGCTCTCAAGTCACGCCTATTTTTGTACGCCCATATTGCTGAAGGCGCCATCACAAGTGACGCTGCCGCTGCTCGAATTAAGCCCAAGCACTCTGCCACTGCCTCAGCTGGCTGCGGCTTAGTACGCACCAGTTACTACAGTTAATTGGCTAGCCAAACTATTCTAAAGGTGCGCAGATGCACATGCAGCCTGCAGTGCCCATCTAAACAAAAGCAACAAGCAACAAACCAACAAGGAAACAAAGAAACAACAAACACCAAATTAACAAAGCACAAACGCCTCTCAACGACAACAACAACAACAACAACAATAGTCATCAACAAAGCACAAATTCGCGTCTCATTCTTAAACAACCATAGCAAACATTTACAACAACCACAACCACAACAACAACAACAACGCCCAACAACTTTAAACGGTCCCACGCGATTTTTCAACAGGCGCCAGCGATAGCCGCCTGCTAATTGTAAAATTTAGCAGTAGCTGACAAAAACAAAATGGCGGATGGGCATTCATTTGTGAAGAAGACATTTCATAAGCCAACTTACTGTCACCACTGCTCGGATTTACTGTGGGGCCTCATACAGCAGGGCTACATTTGCGAAGGTAAGTGCGATTAGTAGATCATTAAGGAACTATCATAAGATTCGACTCTCAGAGTGGTTTACACTTTAATGGTTGCAGATTGAAGTGGCTGCTATGTGGGAGGGTATTGGGAGTCTCTGCAAATATCTTGAGAGTAGACATTAAAAGAAAATTATATTTCATTTTATATATACTTATATGAGTATTTGTATATTATATATAATTTTGTATTGTATATATAACTTTCTTATCTTTCTCGTTTTCCCTTTGCTCGCGTTCCTTCTGATCGTTCTTTCAGTGCCCTTTGGCTTACTGCAGCTAAGCAAATTAGTAATAAAAATGTTTCTTGTATAGATTAATAAAATTAACAAATGCTATACATAGTACATATATCATATAGTAATTACTTTTTGTCAGCATAACAGGATAAATTTTTGATAAATTAATGAAGTTTTAATGAAGGTCTTAAATTTACTGAATTTGAATATCCTGTCTTAAATTTATGGTAATCGAATCTAGTCACGCAGATATTATTATTAGGCGATTTTAGAAAGTACTTAATAGGCATTGAACCCAGATATAAAAATAAAAATTGTTTTTGACATTTAAATATAGCATTAATTTGTATGAATGACTGAATTGCTTATGACAGCCCTATGATGCTATATCTATACATATATACCTATCAAAATATATTCAATAGAAATTGTATCTGACAACATTTGAAAATTGGACATGACTTACATATGTACTTGAAATATTACACATACATGGGACTGCATAGCAATAACAGGTCTTACTTTCCCGTAAAGGAATTCCGTAATTGAGAGATCTGTCTGCGGCTCTTTGGATATTTTCCCCTATTACTCCCAGAAATAGGATAATTTGTTTTGTTTTAATATCATAAAGATATTAAATTGAAACTAATATTTCCTATAATGTAAGCTCTATATATAGAACGCAGTAAACTATTCATACATATAGAAAAATGTAATATATGTATATGGGACACATATTATATTATAGATAGATCTTAATTATACAAATTTGACGGAATTGTTTTGTTTTTGTTGTTGTTTGTTGATCGTAGATCACTTCTGGCCTTTAGTCAGTTGCGAGCTGCCAAGTTCAATTTAATGAGCACTAAACGAGCAAATCGAAAGCGCAAATCAGAGAAAAGTGGCCCCAAAATTCTATGAAAATACATTTGTCTAGTTTTGTTAATACATTTTCGAATTGCCATCATAATGTGGAGCGAAATCGTGTGATTTTTACAAGCTGCATCCGCACGCTCTCCACATGACCGAGATGCACGCCAATGATCATCAGCGTCATCCTCATCATCATCATCGTCGTCGTTCTATTTTTGGCGAAAAGTGTGCGCATTTGAACTTTCCCAAAAACAAATAGATTGTTCAACCAGCAGCTGGCAGCATCATGACGTGAGCCCGGCCAACGACGTCACAGACACAGCAACGACCGTGGGGCCACTGGCAATTGGCGTTGGGGTCTATTGGGGCTGCGGCTGGCCACGAGAATCTATCAAACTGGGGCCAGGCCGCACAAGTCAATCGCCATATCGCTGCTGCTGATGCTGCTGCCGCCTCTCCCAATTGGAAGCGCGTTAGGCGCCTCGCCGCGTGCGTTAATTTGTTTATTTGTGCTGCTTCGTCTATTATTATAATTATTGCATAGAGCGTTTTCTTCCTATTTTTCGTATACCTAAAGATTTCCCAGCCAATTCAGTTGGCCAGCTGCAAATTTGTTCATAAAAATATATATTTACATATGACATATAAATATTACATATAAAAGCAATCGCAATCAGCTCGGGATTTTAATATACCAACAGACTTGAGACTTTGGCTTTTGACAGTGTCAGCTAAAAATAATCGCTCATTGGCATATTTTAAGTGCAATTGTGTATTTAATTGTTGCTATGACAGTTTCAGCTTGTCAATATGCATTTCGACAACAGCTAGAGTCAAGAGTGCTTAAAAGGTCATAATGACGTCAAATACCCTGCACTTGGCTTCTAAACAACTTTTGCAGTTATCGTATATGCCTTAGAGACAAAATTGAAAGCATTGGGATTATATGATACATTTATAAATAATATATACATATATAAATAATATATTAGATCTCTATTTCTTGCTTTTAAATAAACATGCAGATACTTTTATTATATACATCATTTGTTGCAATATATAACATTTTGCAACTCAATTTTTTGCTTTGACAATCGGAATTTTCGTACATATAATACACATGATACATATGTATCTATGACGAAATATATATATAGAAATAAACAAATAATATGTATATGTATGTATATTTATTTATAGCGAAATGCAAGTGAATATTCCATTTCTGTTCGCCTCAAATGTATTTTTAGAGCAAACTTTCGTTTTGTGTAGCATAACCCCAGGCGTCGCTCTCATTAGAAAGCGTGCGAAGGCGTTTTACGCTGCACTAATTGAGTTTGAGCATTAAATTGTGAGTGGGAGAGAGTAAACGAAAGATCGGATTGGCATTTGAATTAAGAATTCAATTGCAGCAGGCAGGCGGGTAGGCAGACAGCTCGGCAGGCAGGTGTGCAAGCTGCACTGTTCCTTTAGCGGCTAGAAAGAGATAGAGACTTAGAAATCGGACAGCGAAAGAGCGAGTAAGAGAATGAGAGACAGAAAGAACGAGAAGTAACTCGCCCACACACAGTTGCCAAACAGCAGCGGTTGCGCTCTGTTACTCGCCTAAAACTAGGTCGAGATGCACTCACAATTGCATACACACAGAAATACACACTCACGCACACACACACACACAGACAGAGCCGCGCGCGTACAGGATGCGCACAGCTGCAGGCAACGTTTCAATTGGTTTTCAAGGGTTGCGGGGGCCGATAACAACTGGCAATTGCAGCAACAGACGCAGCAGCAGCAGCAGCAACAGCGACAGCGACAGCAGCGGCAACAGCGACATCAGCAGCAGCAGCAGGTGAGCATAAGGACCAAATTGAATATGAAAAAGTGTGTGGGCTCGTTACAAGCCGGCTGGCCTGCTCTGCTCTGCTCTGCCCTGTTCAGCTCTGTCGTGCCCTTGTCCGTGTGTGTGTCGGCCTGTTAACACACCTACACACACACACAGACAGACAGAAACACATAGGCACACACACATATACAGACAGCTGTTACCCCTGCTTCCGTTACTATCCGATAGCAATGAAGGGCTAAAAGTGCGTCATCAATGGCCGCCATGAATGTGGCGGAACCAAAAAAGCGAGTGCCATATGCGCAAACAGAGGTGCGGACCTGCTGCCGTTTAATTACCTTCTCCACAACATCGTCGGTGCTGTTCATTCATAACGCTATATAGAAAGCCAAAGCAGCAGCAGCAACAACAGCAACAGCAGCAGCAGCAACACAACCACTCCCAACAACGGCAGCAGCAATTACAACAATAGAAAACAACAAACAAATGAAAACAGATTTTGTATTTGTGCTTCTTGTTTTGTTTTTTTGTTTTCTTTTCGTAAACTAGTGGGTCGACAGTTTGGCTGGCAGAACCATTCGATTGTTGGTTGCGAGAGCGGGCAGTCCTCAAGTGGCACTGCTGACGGTGCACGCCAAGCAACAACAACTTTGATCCAATACATTTGGCTTTTGAATTTAGCTACGCGATCCATGGACCACACGGGCTGACAGAAGATACTCTATATGCCTAATTTAATGTTTTTAAGACCAAAAATGTATCCCTGGATCATAATCATATGATAGGATTACTTCAAAAATAGGAAGAAAATTTTCAAATATTAAATTTAAAATTAAATTATTTATGTAGTAACGATATCTGAATCTCCATTCAAAAGCAAGAAATAGATAATCAATATATTTGAAATTTTTAAAATAATTAATCCATTCAAAAATGTTGCGCCAATTGCTTTGAATAAATAAATATTTCTTTTTTCTTGATATTAAATTTTTAATAACTAAATAAAGACGTGAATAAATTACAAAATTTTGACTTATGAATTAAATTTTAATATCTCTAATTTTGAATTTCAATTAAATATATATCATTATATAGATAGACTCGCTTATTAACTTAATTTGAGTAAATAGTTCTTTGATTTTCATTAATTTCGTATTTATACTTTTTATTTAGTATATGCATTTAATAATTAGCAAATATTTATTAAATTGGCATTAATTTTGAATTTTAAATAAACAAATCATAATAAGTTTAGATTGTATTAAAATCTAATTAATTGCTGATTACTTGAATTTGAATACGTAATAGTTTATTTCGAATTTTAGACAAATAAAAGTGATTTAAAAATGTAAAATACATATAAACATATGAATTACATTTTATTTTTAATTTTTAAATTTTTAATCTTTAATACATGAATTAAAATTAATTTAAGATATACCTGATTTTAGGTCTACCTTATCTACAAATGATTTCTCATTGGCAATGGGTAAAGGGTATAAAAAATTTAACATTTTATTATATTAAATACCTTCAATAATATAATAATACGTATACTTAATATTATAGATGATATTACGGTACAAGCAAATGGGAAAGCTTAGCATAGTCAAAAAGCAACTTCTGAGCTAGAGCTCTAGAGCTATTCATTTTCTATGATCTGAGATAAGCATAAGCCAGCCTATAAATATAAATTAGTTACAGGGTATGCAAATCCAATCTCTATCAAGTGGCGCAGCTGGCGGCAATGTCGACGTCAACATCGCGCGTTGATAGCCATTCGCGCTATATATCCTTGACTGTTGCCTTGTGTGTGCTTACGTACTTGCTCCAAAGTGCTATGTGCGTGTGTGTGTGGGTGTTTGTGTGTGTGTGTGTGCGACACGCTCGCATAGCAAGTTCTGTAGCTGCGCGCATTTGCCTCTGAATCGAATTGAGTTTATTTCATTTGGAGCTCAACAAATTACATTTATGGTAAACTAAAGCGTTATGCTATTTCGATTGATGAACTATAAATAGCACGCAAATGCAATTTGACGAACTATTGAATTATGAATTGGCTGCACTCGCTTGCCGTAACTGTAACTATAACTGTAATACACATACATACATACATATTCGTCAAAGCGTCGGTTGACATTTCCAATGAAAAGCCCTCGAGTTCGAATGTTGCGCATACGCCATGTTGGTCGTGGTCAGGGCCAAGTGGCCACAAATTTAGAATCGAATACGCATTATATACATATGTACATATCTATGTATACATGTATATATGTTATTCATGCGTCACATTCATCCAATCATTTCTATATTTAATTATGGTTTCATCTATTTTCGAGAGAGTCTAGCTGTCATGAAGTTAGATTCTAAATTGATTTGCTGTCGAAAGCAAGTTTCTATAACTCATGTCTATGTTCTATGCAAATATCAGTTTTAATTGTTGCTATTGTACTACGCATGTCAACTTGTGCCCATTCAATTGCCACAGCTAACACGAACTCACACACACACACACACACAATCAGTATGGATACACACATAGAGTGTGTGCTCTTTTGGCTTCGCAAACATTTTTTGCCACCTCACACACACACACACACATACATACATATATATTTTCATTTTTGGGCATCGTCTTCGAGCTTTACTTGCTGCCAACTTCTTTGAGTACTTTTAGACGATTTGGCTTTAGGTTTCCTTTGTTATTGTTGTTCTAAATGTAAGCACACACACAGACACGCACACACACATATATATATATATACTCACAAACAATGACGATAACGCGCCCTTGCTAAGCAAAAGCAAAAGATGAAAAAGTAAAAGTGTGTTGAGTTTCGTGAATTTCCCAACCAGACTGAAGAATAACATTAGAAAATTTCCCATGCGTCCTCGTCGCGCTTATCTTCTCTGTTGGCATACACACACATACATATATATACATACATGCGTACGTTTACATTTTGGTATACATAATGCCAAAGAAAATGCAAACCAATCTGAATATAACTATAAATACATGTATTTATTATATATGTATGCATAAATACATATGTATGTATGCACAGATAGTTAACGTCCACTCGTAATGCTCCAAATCATAAAATAAAACTAGTGCGGGCCACGTGCTCCACTCGAATCAAACGATATGGATATGAGAATTGTATGCCTGCTGCTTGCTTCAAATATGTATAATATTATGTTTCATGAACCTACACACATACACAGACACTCACCCGCTTGCTCACTCTCTCGTCGATTGAGAGGCTGCAGTTGATTTCATGCCAGCCTCACATTTGGCCAAAAAATTTGTAATCCACTTGGAACATGCAACATGCGCCGTAAACGCTTCGAGTACTCGTTTATTTATATACATAGCTAAACGACAACAGCAACAACAACAGCTACAGCTACAGCAGCAGCAACAACTCATGAGTTCATTCATGACGTCAGAGCGTCAGCGTCAGGTCAGCGGCCTAATTCGACTCAGAGCCAAATACATACAAGCACATCAACTCAAATGCATATCCACAAATAAATGTAGCCCCAACTGCACGCATACATACATACACACGTACATACTGGCATGTATTCAATTATGAATTTATTTTGCTACACTAATGCACATACATAATTACCTATGCATGCATATAATTAGATACATACATATATGTATGTATGTACATAAAATGTGTGTAAAATTTTCACGCAATGCTAAAAATAAAATTCTTATTTCTATGTTGGGCTACACGCAGAGAGATCTACCAAAAATACATAAGAGACCACACACACATGCACACGCACTATCATGCACACATACACGCACACACCTATGCGTATATGTAGCTGCGCTGCACTCAGCGCATGTATTCGTGTAGTTTTGCTGCTTAAGACGCTGGCAGCGCAGCTTCGGTCACAGGCTGCGAGCTGTTGCTACTTCCATTCAGACACCAACACAGGCGCACATAGAGTAGACGAAGTAGGAGCGAGCGGGAGAGAGCTCTTTGTTTGCCCTACAGTATTGTTTTCGCTTTTGTCCCTGCCTCTCTCCCTCTCTCGCTCTCGTGCTCTGTGTGCTGCTTTTGCTTCTCTTCTTTCGGTTAGCCACTTAGCGTTCGCTTCCATTTTGATTCAGCTCACTTGAGAGTGAGTGTGTGTGTGCTGGTATATATATGTGTGTATGTATGTGTTTGTGTGCATCTGCATGCAAGTGCTTTTGTCCATGCATGCGTGTATGTGTTTGCGTGTGAGTGTGTGTGTGTGTGCATAAGCCTTCAATGAAAATGGCGCCCATGAACTCAAGAGCCAGCATGGCCCATCGCTATGAATGACCGAGTAATGGTTGGCTGACGATGACGTAGCATTGTCCACAAACCCAAGCATATAATGTGCATTTCAGGGCACATACCTTTAAACATGTACAGTGAAATCGCTATAAAGGAGCTGAGAATAACGCCTCGTTGGCTAGCCTAATTGGCTAAGGTCCTTATGGAATTAAATTATAATTAGCTAGAGATGCATAAGTAAAATAAAAATATTATAATATAACAGAAATAATAAATTATAATATTATTTTTTATGAAGTATGAAATATATACAAGTAAAAAGTACCTGTAGTAACATAGAATATCTTTACTGCTTCTATTGTCTATTAATGATTAATGATTAAGTAGCCTATTTATATTTCATCAAATAGAAATTTAAAACAAATAAATATTTAAAAGTCCGTTTTTTTAAGCAGCTTTGACTGTATGTAATGCAAATGCGACTCACATCAAGACGTAAAATTATGGGGCTTATTTATACATATGTATGTGTATATGTATGTGCATATAGATGCATACATATATATCTATATGCTTGTCTGTTTCATTTAGATAAGCACTGACATTACATAGTTAGAGAGAACGATGCCTTTATTTGCTATTGAATGATACTTTCATGACTTCCCCGTTTTGCTTCTCTCTTTTGCAGTTTGCAACTTTATTATACACGAACGATGTGTCACCAGCGTTGTAACGCCCTGTTCCGGCATTGCGCCATGCATTATAAAGGTGCGTACACTATCGCATATACATACATACATATATGTATATGCAGGCATGCATGCATGCATGTAGGTCTATATACATTACATACATGCATGCATGCCGCATATCTGCTGTTCATTGAATAACTTGACAACTGTCATCTCGTTGGACAGAATCCCGTCGCCCATTGTTGGTCGGAACCAACCCATCACAAGAGAAAATTCTGCACCGTATGCCGTAAGAGATTGGATGAAACACCAGCGGTGCATTGTTTAGGTAAGCCAGTGCGCCCCATCGACCGACAAGTAGAATGGCTCGAAGCTCGCTCCTGTCCCGGTTTGAGGGCTGTCTGTTAATTTAAAATGCATTTCATAACCAATTCCTGTTCATGTCAAACATGTATTCAATTTATTTATAACTTTATGCACTTTTCGTGTCATTTTCGTCCAAGTCTAATTCGTAATAGTTCATGATCTATATACATTAATTTAAATATGCTTTTATATTTATTTTAAAATGTTCTAATTAATTTCGTGATTTATAATAATTTATTTTTGCGCCAGAACTTAATTCGAAATATTCCAAGAAATTTCTATCAACATTTATTTCTATATATATTTTAGTTTCATCAAATTAATATAGAATCGTGAGATCATATAGAAAATTGAATTTTGTACATTTATAGAAATTTCAAGAAATTTTGTCCACAAAAATTAATTTTAAATTTGTATTTACATTAATATGCTTAAATTATTTATTGCCAAGTATATATGCATATATATGTATAATAAAATAATGTATCCCCCTTCACAGTTTGCGAATATTTCGCGCATATTGAGTGCCAAGATTTTGCAGTGCCCGATTGCACAGAGAATGCAACATACGTGCCAGGCAAGGAATTGCTTAATGTGAGGCATCAAGTGAGTAACAAATAATAGATGGATGATACAGATGGTAGATATGAGAAATCTGATATGATTCACAGCATCATTGGCGGGAGGGCAATCTTCCACCAACGTCCAAATGCGCCTACTGCAAGAAAACCTGTTGGTCTTCGGAATGCCTCACAGGTGAGTGAATGATTATACGATAGAATGCTAATCCTTATGCTAATCAATTGCTTCCCATTCTTCGCTCAGGCTATCGCTGCGAGTGGTGTGGCATGACCACGCACGCTGGATGTCGCATGTACCTGTCAACCGAATGTAATTTTGGTATTCTACAACCTATCTACTTACCTCCGCATTCAGTGTCGATACCACGTACAGAGGTGCCCATCGAGGCGATCATAGGCGTCCAGGTCAAATCGAAGACGTCGCTCGTACGCGACTATTCTTGTCGTAAGTACCAAACTGGCCTCATTTCTAGCAAACGTATCCCAAATTCGATCGCACCGATTGCGCGATCCAATTGCCACGGCCTAAATGCGGCGGCCAGCCAATGGGCGCACAACAGCTCACTCACCCAAACTCACCCAATAAGCTGCATCAGCTCTCGATGTTGTGCACATTTGAATGTATTCTCAGATCCATGGACTATCATCTCAGCTATTCAAGCCTCATCCTACTCTTCTCACCTTGTTACACTATCGCAAACAGTTTTCGTCTTGTTATGTCTCCTTCTTCTTCTTCTTCTTCTTCTTTTTATTTTATTTTGTTTTCAAATTGAAAATTGTTCAATGTACAACTGCGGTTTATTTCCTCATTTCGTTCACTCTACTCTGTCTCTTTGTCGATTGCTTCCTTTCATTTCGATTTATTCATTTATTAAGTTTTTCTTGTGTTATTTTAAACGTTTCTTTTTTGGTTTGGTTTGGCAGCCAGCCCGGAGCTCGGTGCAGAGGCCGCGGCTGGTGAAGTTGGTGCATCGGGTTTGTGTCTCAAGGAGCTCCTCGAGCTCCACAGACAGCGTCTTGAGCAATCGAAACAACATTTTTTACTTTCAACGCCGCCCACGCCCACATCCTGTGGCTCCCTCTGTGTCTCACCCACGCCATCGCTGACAGTGGGCGACACAAGCAACTCGCTAACCGGCGGCTATCAGGATCCGGACGAGCCAGATGCCGAGGAGGACGACTACGAACAGCAGTGCAATACGACGGAGCCTGATAGCGCCTTTCAGCTGACCACCGCCTCCAGCAATGTGGGCCCAGGGCCACTGCAAAAGTCTCCGTCGGCCAACTCCTCGTTGCATCTGCTCTACACGAGTCTGTTCCGCAAGCTGAACCATGCGCGCCGACGTCGACGTCGCGGCGCCTCGAACAGCGAGCAGGACGACGACGACGACGATGATTTGGATGGCGGAGTCTGTGATATTAGCGGCGGCGACCTGAGCGACGATTACGATCATTGCGATGTCTCGCTGCGCAAGCGCTGCTCGCGTCGATCGCCGCGCGACGTCAGCGAGACGGATTACCATGGCGACGTGGAGCTGGAGACGGCGCCGCGGGAAAGCTGCTACGAGACGTCCGATACGGGTGGTGAACTCACCAATACCGACGATCTCGACTCCAGCATGAATCTGATTAGCAACCTTAGCTATAATAGTAGTAATAGTAACACCTCTAACACCTCCGAGCAGCGCAGGAATCAAGCGCGCTCCACTGCCACAGCCACAGCCGCAGGCACAGCCACAGGCACAGGCACAGCCTCAGGCGCAGCCAAGGGCAAGGGCCCCGCCCCTGGTCCGCCCACGGCTGATGCTTCACATGCCTTAAGCGTGCTCGCCGGCCGCAACCCAAAGACTGCAGCTCTCTTGAAAGCGAAGCCGAAGCCCAAGCCCAAGCCCATACTCAGTGCGCCCAAGCACAAGGGCGGATCGGTGAGCTCACCCAATTCCAGCGACTGCTCCTCGGCATCCCCCGCACCGACCGCGGCGGTCCTGCAGCTGTCCCCTGTGGGCCGCAGCAAGTCGTTCCAGGAGCCGGGCATCGCCCGCAGCAAGAAATACGGACGCGGTCTGTTCCAGCGTCGACGCTCCAAGCGCTCGCCCAAGGGCGGCGCCAAGAGCAACTACAGCCTGGACAGACTATCACAAAACATTGAGATAACCATACAGGATGAGGATGGCAACTATCAGCCATACGATGACAACTATCACATGCTGTCCGCGGCGCGTCTGCCCCACGATACGGATGCCGATGGCTACGATGATGTGGATTACGAGGATTTGTATCTGGACGATCGGCCCCATAGCGTCGGCGGCGTCGGCGGCTTAAGTGGCGAGGACATCGCTGGCGATATCAGCGATGGCGCTGCCAGCAGTCGATCCCGTGCCAGCGATGCCGATGGCCAGGCACCGGGTCACGTGCTCGGCCGTTTGCTGCGGCGCGTGCGCGGCCTGTCCGCCGGCTGGCGCAAGCCACGCTACCAGAAGCGCAGAGGTGATTAGCGTACCGCTATCTTTGTATCTTTGTACTTTGTACTCGTTTTGTAATCTCTCTCTAACAGCAACTGCCACCGACTGCCGTATACTGTCAGTACTCAGTGCTCGATTGGCTTCAGTTTGATTTCGGTTCTTGGTTCTTGTTTCTAGTTATTGAGCTAACAATCTGTTTTAGTTATCGATTGTTTTTAACCTACTTTAATTAACTACTAACTCGACTAATCATCACACGATCGCACCATTTCGCCTCGCATTACACATTTCGCCACAATCGTCACAGTCACAATCGATCCACAGTCAACTAACCCCGACACTGCATGATCACCTCAAGCTAACACCCGATCCGGCTCACTGATTGAAGCAGAGACTAACGGTTTTTTGTAACTCTGCGCTCATTTAGCACGCAGTATATCGGAGGAGTTTAGCAGCGGAGATGCGCCCCGCTTCAAGGACGAGGAATCCCTGGGCAAGGGCGAGTCCTCGCATGGCATGAACGCCCAAGGCGGTGCCGGTAGCAGCAGCGGTGGCGGAGGCGCAGCTGCTGCCAGCGCCAGCGGCACTGGTCCTGGCTCAGGTGGCTCTTCCACACAGTATCGAGCCGAGCCGACGGGCCACAAGTCCGATAAATCGGAAAAGGACCGAGAGAAAAGGGAAAAGGAACGTGAAGAGAAAGATATAGGTGAGTATGACAAAGGATATCCTACTCCCAAGGCCAAGACTAACCAGTTCCTTCGTTCCATTCCTTGCAGAGATGATCAAGGTGTTTGATGGCAACAACTCATTCCGACGCCAGCAATACCGTGCGATCGTCGTTCAGCGCACATACACGCTGGAGCAATTATTGACCACCGCCTTGCGAGCTTTTCACATCACGCGCGATCCGCAGGCCTTTTATCTGACCGATATGTATGCGCCCGCTGGCATGGAAGACACACCGCTGCAGGATCCGACACCCGTGTTGAATCTAACACACTTGGAGGGCAAGCGACCGGCCATCTATTTGAGGTTTCACGACAGGGACAGGGGACATGTGCGTGTGTATCCTGGCAAATTGCAGTGCTCGCTGGAGGATCCCTATGTCAATGTTCCTGTGGATAATACAACTGTCATCAAGGACTTGATACGCGACGCTCTCGATAAATTCGGTCTACATGATAACCAAATACAGGACTACAGGTACGACGACTCATAATCAAAAATTTCAACTGTCTAACTCCCAATCCGCTCTCAGATGCTCGGAAGTTTTGCTCGACCGCGGCGTTACCGAGCGCATACTCTCGTGGAACGAACGTCCCTGGGATATAATGAAGCATCTGGGCAAGGATTCCATACGTCAAATGGAACTGATGCGCTTCTACATGCAGCACAAACAGGATCCCCATGGACCAAACATTGCGCTCTTTGTGGGCAACCTGCCCACAGGACTCTCGCAGCGCAACTACGAGCAAATTTTAAACAAATATGTGACTGATGAGAACAAATTCATCAGCATTGGACCCATTTACTATGAGTACGGCTCGGTCGTGTTAACATTCGAGGACGCTCAAAAGGCGGTAAGAGAAGACACCTTAGAACTGACTGTTGAGGATTCTTATCAATTTTGTATATTTCCGATCAGGTTCGCGCTTTCTACAACCTACGTGAAACGATCATTGAGGACAAAAAGCTACTGGTCTTGCTATTGCCAAATATTGAACCCAGCATGGTACCCTCCGATGTCAGGCCACTGTTGGTCTTTGTAAATGTGAAATCCGGCGGCTGTCAGGGCCTGGAACTAATATCGAGCTTTCGAAAACTACTTAACCCGTACCAGGTCTTTGACTTGGACAACGGTGGTCCGTTACCCGGGTAAGCGACAATTAAAATGGAATGCCTAAGAACTTGAGCACCTAATCATTATCTACTATCCTTTCATCGACAGGCTCTACGTTTTCCGCCAAATCACCAACTACAAGATCCTGGTATGCGGTGGCGATGGCACCATTGGCTGGGTGCTGCAGTGCTTGGATAACGTGGGCCAGGACTCTGAATGCTCTAGTCCGCCGTGCGCCATTGTGCCGTTGGGTACAGGTAAGTAGCAAGACTCCAATTTGCCCACCTGTTTCCTGTTGCCTAAGCCAAACTCTTGCCAGGCAACGATCTGGCACGCGTTTTATGTTGGGGCTCCGGCTACACCGGTGGCGAGGATCCCCTAAATATGCTGCGTGATGTCATCGAGGCCGAGGAGATTAGATTGGATCGTTGGACCGTCGTCTTCCATCCGGAAGATAAGCCCGAAGAGCCGGCTATGAAGGCGCCCTCACAAACCACTGGTAAGAAGAAGAAGGCGCACCAAGCACATTTATCGCAACAAACAAATCAGCATCATCAATTACCGGCTCTGACATCGAGTGATATATCAGGTCATTTGATGTTTCAAAATTTTGTTATTGTTTATTATGCGTTTCACTGTCTAATTTAACTAATGCCCCCATCCACAATCCCAAGGCCAATATCCTTGTAAAAAAAAAAAAAAAAAAGGGCAATAGCTCTACACTTCGTGTTGTAATTTGAAATGTGCTTTTAAATATTGCTTTACAAACAATACAAATATCCGCAAAGATATCCATTTCTGTGAATATTTTTGCAACTGACAAGAGAAATGAAAACAGGTTTTTACTGCCATTAATATTCCCCTTTCGAATCCTTCCAATAAGTTGCAGAAATATCTCATGTCATGTCGAGCTACCCGATTTGAGCTTTAGCTGCCATAAAGTAGTCAAAATATTAAATTCCAAGCCTCCCGATCTAACCACATAAAAGTAAAGTCCGTGCAGACTGCGCCGTCAAGTTTGTTAGCTGATGATAAATGCTGTAGCTTGAATGTATATACGATATATTTGTGCTCTTAGTAGAGCTCTGCATGCACCCGTACTAGTTGTAGTTAGTTCTGGCGACGAGCGAGCGAGCGAGCTGCTCCTGGAGCACAGGTAAAGTATATAAATATCAAGTTCGGCTGCTGTCTGGAATTCGATCTCTTAATACATCGGTAAAACCGACTCATATATCCAACTCGATGTTTTGTAAATTCAATTTTTGTTGTGATGTGTCAATGTGTGCGTTTAGCGTTTTGTCCCCCCACCCAACGATTCGAACAACTTCGAACTAAATAATTGCTCTCAATTACCAGGCGGTGCCCAAAACGAGGACAACTCCCAGATCTTTGTAATGAACAACTATTTTGGCATTGGCATCGATGCTGATCTCTGCCTGGACTTTCACAATGCTCGCGAGGAGAATCCCAATCAGTTCAACTCACGGCTGCGCAACAAGGGCTACTACGTGAAGATGGGACTGCGCAAGATTGTGGGACGCAAAACGGTCAAGGATTTGCAAAAGGAGCTTCGCCTAGAGGTCGATGGCAAGGTCGTAGATCTGCCACCGGTCGACGGCATCATCATATTAAATATATTGAGGTAAACATGAGACTTAGATGAACAAATATCGTATGACCTATTGCTAATCACTCTTCTTCTTTCTTCGCTCAGTTGGGGCAGCGGCGCAAATCCCTGGGGTCCGGATAAGGACGATCAGTTCAGCACGCCCAATCACTACGATGGCATGCTGGAGGTCGTGGGAGTGACCGGTGTGGTGCACTTGGGACAGATCCAGTCGGGCATACGCACGGCCATGCGCATAGCACAGGTGGGTTAAGCATACGCCGTGTGGGCCCGAGCAAGGCACTTAATTCTGTGCCGTCTTTTCAGGGTGGTCACATCAAGATACACTTGAAAACCGATATGCCAGTACAGGTGGATGGCGAGCCATGGATTCAAAGCCCCGGCGAAGTTGTGGTCCTCAAGTCAGCGCTCAAGGTATGTGCGAGCCAAGCATTAAACGCCTTTGTATATAAGCTAGGATTGCATGCCTCAAATATTCAGTTATTATTGCATGACAGCTTTCCGTTATCATTTCTTTTGTATATACATACAAGCAATATCATATGGACCCGATGAATTCAAAACATTTGCACCAAAACTCTTTGTCACTGCGCGTTTTTCCACTTCTTTTCCTTTTTATGGTTTCTCTAAAATTTCTGCGTACGTTACTTACTGATTGTACACCTAATGAGTCAGCAACCACAGATCATACTTGACAAACCACCTAAAAAGAAAATTATATTAAGCCGGATAAGAATAATAAGATTATTATAAACTATAAAAGTTTAGTGGAAAACAAAGAAAAAGAAAAGAAACACAAGAAACTTCGTTCTATGTCATACGACTCGGATTCGAACGACGATTGATTGACTGATGATTGATGATTGAAGTTCAGCTTGGTACCTTAACAACTCGCATTTAATTTGTAATACTAATGCGAACGCGACTCTTTCGATTAGTCTTGCTAACATTTGACAACAACATTATCCTCCAGTTATCTACATGTTAAACAGCTACAAGCTGAGGAAAATAGCTTAAGAATTTGTTTGTTGACACATTTGTATGCTAAAAGTAGATCGATCTTTGTAAGAAATGATTTGATAATTGAATTGAAACTGTGTGTGTTTGTTTTTATGTAACGAAAAAAAAAACAAAACAAAATAATAATGAAAACTGTTTGCATGCAACCAAACCAAACCAATCAACCAACAGCCACGTCCTACGTCCCAAAATGCAAATATTATGGTCCAACTGAATAATTGTGTTACACGTATTTTGTAATTTGATTTGTTCATCAAGTTAATCCAGCTAATTGTTGTTGATAGCAAGGCAATTGCAATAGAAACCAAACTTTGTCACTGTTAGTGCGTGTCTGTATTCGATATTAATTGTGTTTACATTCTACATACATATATATATATATATATATATATATATATATATATATATACATTTATATATTCAAGCACCTGCTGTCCCCATAAGCCCCACCAGAAATCATGTATATACAAATTTAGTGCAGTATTTCTCCAACTCTATTATTTGTGTGTATTCTGCAAGATAATTCGATCATACATCATATGAGACGTACATATATATAATTCCGCATCTCCTTTAACAATATTAAAAGAAGAAGGAAAAAAATTGAGAAAGTGAAATTTTATTCCTCCGATTTTTATAGATGATTCTTAAATCTTATTCAGTTTGGAATAAATTGAAAATTTAATTCATTTCGGAACAAAGTTTGTTCTTTAGTTTACTTCGATTCAATGTCAGATCTATGAATTGTGAAATATTTGAAGAAAAAACTGTTGAAATCTTTGAGGAAATGGAGTATGAGAGAGGGCAGCAACCCGATTTGTTACTGTAAATGTTTTGTTTTTCTTTGGGTGTATACGTTGTTGATGTGTTGAGCCGTTGAGATATGTCGCCTTTGACCCTTGTGTGTGTTTTATGCTACATTCAGGCTACCATGCTGAAGAAAACGAAGAGTAAACGACGACTTACGGAGCCGCATATCTCGCCGGCGGCGCTAAGCCTCTCGGCGGCTGGCAGCACCACGGCCATACAGAACATACCGCAACAATCGCAGCTGCAACAGCAGCAGCAGCAGCAGCAGCAACAACAACAACAGCAACACCAACAGCAACAACAGCAGCAGCAGCAGCAGCAGCAACAGCAGCTGCAACAGGCGCAACAACAGCCGCAGCATGCGGCCGAAAATGGTGACAAGGATATTTCAGTGCCGCCTTCGGCACCCTTTGGCAGCACATAGAGTATAGCCTCGGCATACGTGTCCGGTGTACGATATTGGTTCTCCTGTTTCTTTCCATAGGCCGACCCATTACCCAAACAACATACATAGAGAGAGTAACGGCAGGAGAAGCAACTAAACCAAATGCCAGCCACAGCATGCATGAAAGCGCAGATCTATAGGAAACCTAACAAAATGCTACATACGACTACACATAGTATAAGAAATATAAACAACCATCAAAAGAAAAAACAAAAAGAACCCAAACTTACATATATACCAAATCGAAATATACCATAAACTTGTGCAAGCTGAGGTTATCAAAAGCATTGTGAATAAACTGGTGCAGTAATTAGACAAACTTTGATGAAAACTCGAAAAGAAAACTCTTTTTATAGAATACTTAAAACCGAACCACCTAAATAATAAGCCACCATCCTCTGACCAAGAGCAACAATAATATAAAGACCACCGCTTTTAAAAAACTTGAACTAGTTGTAAAACGTTAATACACACTCACACACACGCACACACACACACAGAATCGCACACACGTCTGAAGAGTTTCTTTAGTTGAAAATAATTTTTTGAAGCTTTTAGCCTTCTTTTGAAATGCGCTTAGAGTGTGCAGGGCCTAATTACAACTAATCTGCACACATCACACACACACTCACATACTATATATACACTGAGCAAAAAATGTATATTATTTGTTTTCGATTTTGTTGATTACAAATTGCTAGAGATGCAAATGATTTACCATCTGGAATTTAGTTTATTCCAATTTCGTGCATTTTGCTTGATTTGCTAAACATGATTTTTGATTTAATTCTGATTTGAAATTAATTACTGCCCATTAATACTTTGATTTTCAATATGTACAAGTTTACAAGCTAACTAACTAAATAATTCAAAAATAATAATGATAATAATAACATAATTTCATTTATGTTAACTCTCCTTTTTATACTCTTTCTCTCTTTTTTCTCTATCTCTCTATATATTACTGAACATAAATTAATATGATCTTTTATAAACAACAACAATTGAATGTATAACATCTATGACACCAACAACTACTACTACAACAACAATATACATTTAATCTGCTCTTAATCAATTTAATCAATTTATGCACCGGACGCCAAAAAACTTCAACATTGCAATTTAACCTCTTCAACTTGATTATCTTGATTAATCGATTTGTGAATCATGCCTCACCTACTTAGGCCACCATGTTAAAAAAGAATAAACTTAAAATGAAGCGACGCAACACGGAGCCAACCATGCTCGTCGCCGGCTCAGCAACTCCACACCTGTCGCTGGCGCTGCCACCGAGCGTGGGTGAGGTGGGCGATGCCGCCGAGGCAGATGCGGGCCCAAATAATACGGACTTCTGAATATGGTATAGCGAGCGTCTGATTTAACGTGCTCATTGCAGTGTTTACCACATCCACACAGTCACACAACCACACCACTACACCACCACACCACTACACAACCACACAACCACACAGCAGCCACAATCTCATTGTCGATTGCCATAGCAACAGATTGAACTAAAATGAAAGCGAATGAAACAAATCAAAAGAAAAAGCCAAACAACTTTAATCAAAATTAACTCTTTTACTATATGTATATGTATGTATGTGTATTTCTATTCCTATATATGTATATGTGTATAGAGATGGTGTCTATGTCATAGTCATACTATATCATCGATCGTCTGCAATAAGTACGTTAAACTCAAACAGCTCGAAACTCGTACAGTGGCTCGCGAAAGTAATTGACGAGCAGCGCGGCCAACACTGTAACTAAATATAACAAAATATATTTCAAAAACAAAAAAAAAGAAAGAAAGAAAAACAAACAAACAACTACAACTATTAAATACTATTTAATGCTATAACTACAACAACATGAACAAGAACAACAACTATTACTAATACTATAACAGCAGCTGGGCGCAACTGCAAGCGTCAAATTTACGCATCAACTACTCAGCATCGTATGTGTATGTGTATGTATGTATGTATGTGTACGCACAGGACATGCATAGTGTGTATTGGAAGTATGTGTGCATGCGTGCTGTCGATACGATGATATATTCAAATCTTTATTCCATACACACACACACAAACACTCACACACACACTCACTTACTCACACACAGCAATAGTCTGGCAAATGTTGTAAGAAAAGAAATTCAAGTTCAATTATGTTCCTTACCGTTTCGTTCCTATGTATGTATAAAAGAAATCAACGACAGATTAGTGATACCATTAATAAGCAAGAAGAAGTAAAAGCTAAAGAATACCAAAAACAAAACCAGCGCAAAGAGCATAGCAACATATAAAATAGTACAAAATTGAATTGTTAAATAATTGTTTGTTGGTATCAACTGACGAAAAGAAAATAATGAATCGTGACAAAACAAAAGAACAAAAATTAACGAATTTGGCAACGGCAGCAATGGCCGCCAGATGGCGGAATAGTGCTGCCCAGCGCTCTAGCGCAACCTACACGGAAAAGTAACAAAAAAAAAAAACGAAAACGAAAAAGAAAAAAACACACAAAAAGCTTAAACATAAATGTTACGACAGATGCGAGAAAATTCTTACGAAGCTTTTGTTTTCAACAAAATCGCTGCAAATTGCATAGTATGTATAGACATATAAACCATTAGGGACGCAACAATTCGCATATGAAAATCAAAAGATCGTTAGACCAAACGGAACTAGCGATAGAAATTTTGTACTACAAATTCGAGTGCACCGACCATACACATACATGCATATGTATATAACAGGTGCATGTGTATGTATGAATGGGCATACGGATGTACGTACGATAAGATGCATGAAAATTATGAATGAGCTAAACAAAAATCTGGATTGTGCAATTGGTATGAATTTTCTCCACTGTTGTGCAAATATTATTCAAAGTAAACGAATGCATTTTCTTACAGAAAAACAAAAACAAAACAAACAAAACAAAAAAAAAAAAAAACAATGTGCCTGATTACAAAGTATTTCTGTCCGATTGTCCGCCTTTGGTGGTCGGCCAGTCGGTCAGTTAGTCAGTTTTTGGGGCACGTAAGTATTTCACATGCATTTGAACATTTTTGGATGTTGAACCCACTTACAGAAAAATGGAAAAACAAAAACAAGATATAGAAAAGAAAAGGAAGGTAGATGAAGAAAAGAAAAGAACCGGAGACACTACAATTTCAACTTCAAAACGCTTATAAAAAAACAATTTTTGAAAACTTTTTAACTATTTTTACATTAAATGTTTTTGTTAAACACAAGACACACTGAGAAAACTTGCTGTAATACCGTTATCCCTGCTGGGGATGGGGCGCATGTGCATGGTCTGCACTTGCGGTTATTCGCATGCACAAGCCCCCCATCCCCACACACGATACACGTGAAGGCGACTGGAAGTGGGAATAACCGGTTCCAATGAGAAGGAACTCCTTGCAGAGTATTTCCAGCCGCCTTTTCCAGCACACACAAGCATACACGCACACCCACACACACGTACAGCAAACACAAAAGCAGACCGTTTTTAATTCATTTACTGTTATGCTAACACGGAAATCGCATAACAGTCGCCCAACAAATCCAAAATCCAAATATAAACACTCACCCAAACATTTTGTTCATGCCGACTTCTAAAGAGACATTCACACGACTTTTGCGTTCAGCAAATCACCTCGACCTGTTGCAGTTAAGGGGCTCGGTGCTTGGGGTTAATCAGACCACACCCGATTTCCGTGAATTTCCTAGCGATCGCACACGTTGGGCGCCGGGACAGTCGTCTATGCAATGAAACAAAACAAAAAAACAAAAAAACAAAATTAATGCGCGTCAAAAAAAAAAAAAAATTTAATATAATATTACAAAAATGGAAAGAGTAATTTTCTTTTAAAATTAAATTACTATTATTTGGCTATGATGGAAAATCCGACTTAACCTCTCCCATATTGCATAGACCACTGCGAAGCGCGACGTGCGGCCTTTCGCCAAACTTATTCGAGTTCGAAATAAACTGTTTGATTCGAGCTCGAATCGATTAGCCACTGGCACAAAAATTGCAGCTCGCAGGTGATTTGATTTCTTGCCTAATTTAAAACACAAATATACTGCAACAAAACAACACAAAGTTTTTTCCAACATTTTAGTTATGTTTCTTTTATTATGTATTGAAAAACTTAGTGTAAGTCAAAAAAAAAAAATGAATTAATATAATATGCTATTCAAAGAAATCCAAAACATAATTACCAACAAAAAATACACACAAAAAAAACCAAAAAAAATTATAAATTAAAAAAAAAACAACAAAAACATACAACTAAAAATACTAATTATAGTACATACATTGATGTAGTGTTAATTTTAAGCAAAAACCAAAAAAAAAAAAAAAAAAAAACAAACAAAAACAAAAAAAAATAAATAAATAAAACAAAAGCAAAATTATAAATCCAATAACAACATTTGAGAGCCAACTATAAAATTGTTTCATGAACTCAAGATAACAAAACAGAACAAAATCCATACATAAATGTACAAGTAACTATTTTTCTCTAAAAACAAAAGTAAACTGCAACACTTTTTGCTCCATATTAAATTAATCTTTTTGCAGGCAGAGGATATAATTGAATGAAATAAGTATGTTATGTATATTTAAAAAAAAAAAAAAAAAAAAAAATAAAAAACAAAAAAATTAAAACAAAACAAATGATAAAAGCAAAATTTGTCAACCCAAATTCAAAATGGAAATCGTTGCGGAAATTGTTAAACAGACTACGCATGCAAATACGGAATTTATAATGTACAATGGGAATCGCTTTAAAGTCTATAATGATCATTTTGTTGTAATGCAAAAAAAAAAAAAAAAAAAAATAATAGCGAATATCCAAATCCAAAATCCGTTTAACAGAACGAAAAATTCGTGAAGCATAAAAAAAAAACAGATATGAAAAGGAAATAACTGCAAAATAAATGTAATTGACATAACAGAATTCCAACAATTTGTTTTTATTTAATTGAGGTTCAAGTATGTAAGTATGATAATACTGAAGCAGCTTTGTATTATTCGTTAATAATCCAAAAACAGTTCGACCAACTCTCAAGAGAGAGTCTGCAGTAACTTAATTGTCAAGGTTTATAACTGAGAAAGGCAATGTAATATTCGATAATCAGAACGAATACGGAGGAGAGAGTCTCTTTGCAAACATACCAAAGCTAAATTTATTAGACATTGAAAAAAAAAAAAAAAAATGTATATACTTACTCTCTATCTACTTCGTGAACGCTCAGCTACTAAAAATGGCAGCAGAGTTTATATTTGAGTAAAAGCTAGAATGCTTACTTGGGAGAGAGTGCTCCCATTGGTCACTTAAAACTCGGCTGCAACGAACACTACCGACGCTGGGTCAACATTTGAGAGCGAATCAATGTGTGAGTGAAAGTCGCCCTATATAAAGGGCAGTAGCTGCAGCATTTCTTCAGTCGCCCAAGCGCAGTGGGGGTCAGTCGTGCAGTGCAGTAAAGTGAAGTGACGTCAATGAGCGATTAGCTAAGCATTAAAAGCTTAGAGGAAATGATGGGGGGAAATACTTGGAGGGACTACTTGCTACTTTTGCCGGTTGTTACATTTTGCTGTGCTACTTACCTTAGCCAACAGAATTGGCGAAATCTTGATATTTTAATAATTCTTCGCTTCTTTTCTGCTTACACAAGAGACAAAGCAGACACGCACACGCATGCGTACGCACGCACCGAATGACGAATAAGAAAATTCTATCCTATTTCAGTAAGTATTTTTAAATAATATTCAGTCAACTTTTTTGTCCCAAAATGTTTTCAAACGATTTTACTAGAAGTGCAACAATTTAATCCTACTTAAGATTCCAATCAGAAATAATCTTTTATTTATTAAAGAAAATTGTGGTTGGTATATATATATTACTTAAAAACTATAATTTGTAATTACCGATTGTAAGGTAATGCTTAATACATACATATTTTAATATGATAACAATATACACTTAGATAAACTGTACTACATTATGAATGCCTGCTGCCGCGTCTCAATCGTAATAATGAGTACCACAATCAAATGGCATAAAATAATTATTGTACATATCATGAGAAAAACATAGAGAATAACAAATTGTTGACTCGACGAAAATATCAACTATTTATTGTTGTCGGTATCAGACGAAGCACCCGATTGAAGAGGGGGCGTTGAGCGTCCATCGAAATTCTGTTGATTAACCAAGCGTTGACGCTCTAGATACATGGACACCTTTATATTTCGGACCTGATGATTATGTATAAGTTTTAGCAACGCGATGACTCCAATACCCACTGAAATGGCAAAAGCTCCCCAAGCGCCAAACTTTAAAGGAATACAAATCATATTTATTGTATTATTTAGTATAGCCTAACAGGTCCACAATAAATAAAACTCACCTGAGTGGTACCCATTTCAATGTAGAATCCTGATGTATTAATCTTTTCAGTGTCGCCTCTGATAATGTTTTGTCCAGCCGATGTTTCGCACGATGGAAATCGTTCGGTCATTCCATCACACCAGACAATGAAACCCAACGTTATGAAAATTGCGGACAATATGGACATAGCCAGCATCCATATGCCGAGCACAACGTCAATAAATAGGGCAATGAAGGACTCCTCCTCCTTCATTCGAACATATCTGAAATAGGCCACAGAATTTTAGTTTACACAATCAGACACAATGCTGTACTGTCTATGCTCACCGGTAAATTTGTACGACAGAGATGATGAAGAGAAAGACTCCAGTGATTAGGGGAAAATTGCAGAATCCGTCGGAGGCCCAATGAACATCGAACATACCATCCTCCTCTCGCCATTTACCCGTTGTAAAGAGCAAGCAGTGTCCACTAGATTGGCGAATGGTTGCGCATTCACATTATTTATTCTTAGTGAAAAACTGCGTCATTGAATACATACCAAAACTGATTGAGGTTTATTGATAGCGGCAGAACAATGCATAAGGATAATATAAATAGCAGAACGTGTCCAGCTATTTGACTAAGCAAAAGTACATTTGCTAACGCCATTTCTATGCAAAAAATTCGCAAATACTTGCTAGTGTTTATATATTATTGTTTGGTTTACAACAGGGCTGGGGATACACACTGAAAAATAAAACGGTCTTTGTTAGCGCAAAAATATCTAAATATTAAATACTAAAAATACCACTAGCAATACAATTGACAAATGTTTATAAATGGTTACTAAATTGTTAATTCTTATTTTGTGAGGCCTATGACGCATAAAATTGATTGAGTTTTTCTTAAATAAAGTTTATTAAATATAAATAAATTTTTGTGAAGTTTTTTTCAACTCCAATAATTTAAAAAATAAAAGTAATTAATAGACTATGCTAGTAGTTACTTACTGACCCTAATTAATAATTATTTTATTTGTTATATTTTTAAGTTTAAGTGAATCACAATCATCTGTAGCTGACTACTGTTTCTGCAAGTATGGAAATGTGTTTATATGCTACAATTTGCTGTCATTTTTAGTACCAATGTGATTTCACTTGCTGGAAGTTATTTAATGTGTGCAATATAAATACGCATATAACGATAGGAAACAAATTTTAACGAGCATTATAAAAATGTTTGTTACTGTTGCTACAAAATCGTTTTTAATTTATTTACACACGGATTGTTGAAAACTTTGCATATTGTTAGTATTTTTTTTTTTTTTAATTCCTTTTTGGGTCAGCTTCGGGCATTGGGCAACACTGTTCCTAAAATCGTAAAAAATTGTTAAATTTGTTTACATTAAATTGGATCTCCGCACAAGGTAATTGTAGTTTAAAAATTTTGGAACAAATGCCAACAATTGGTGTAAATTGCTTAAATAAAAGGCTACGGATCTTGTGTAACTATCTGGTCTTCTGAAAGTGCTACGAGTGTGTGGCAAAATGCAAATGAAGTGGGAACAAAGAGCAATTAAAAAGATAGTAAAAATGAAACAAATTGAAAAACAAGGGTTTCACTACTTTCTCTCTCTTCTGTCTTTCAAACAGATAACGCAATGAGATTGCATTAGCCAATTGCGCGAAGGTGAAGATTGCATTCGCGCGTTAAAAATATATAAT